AACCGCCATGTGCAGGGCTCCTCAGTGGATGCTCCGGTCTTCAGCCTACGTTCACCCTGTCTTCCATGGTACCCTGTGCATCTTGGGCTTCCCAGGGGATCCAGGGAACAACTGATTCATGTCCACCTTCTGTTCTGTAGGTGCCTGGAACATTAGTCATTCCACACTGCGTGTCCACCCGCACATGTCTCTCTCCACATCTTCATCTAAAAATTTCTTGAAATCCCTTCTCTGCTGTTTGTTTATCCCCTTTGGTTTTTTTGTTTGTTTGTTTTTTTATCTCTGCATTGAGACTTTATTCCTTCACTTCATTTTGTAGGGATTGTAGAGGGAGAGAAGAGACATGTGTCACATTTAATGAAAGACAATGAGATAGTATTTCTGGAAGCTTTTCAACATTTAATGGAGATTTCATTTTGTCCTCAGCACTGTGCTAAGCATTTGATCGTCACACAAACCTCAAGAGACAGATCCTATTTTAATATTTATTAGTTATAGAAAATTCAAACAATGCAGAAATACAGAAGGAAAAAAAATCACAGAATGATTTAGAAGTTACTCCATGTCAGTTAATTGATTTACTGATTTATTTCCTAATCTTAGACTTTTCTGTATGGTCTAAAGTGATTGCAAATTCTCTACAATGCTACATTTTTGGTTTTTACCTAATATTGCATCCTGTGTATATTTCTAAATTGTTACACATGTCTAAATCATACTTGCCATGCGTGCATATATTCATTCATTCATTCCTCTCCCCATCTGGTGATGAAGAAACAAGTCACAACAGTGCAGTGACCGGCAACAGTTGTCATATTAGACACAGCGCAGTTCACTCACCCACTCCTCTATCTCTGGTAGTTGATGGTTTTTGGCTCTTCATCATTATGAAAGTACCACAAGATGACCTGGGTACATAAAGCTCTTTCCAATGTCCACATTATTTCCTGGGGGCACCTTCTCCAAAGCGGAATTATTGGGTTTGAAAACTCTAGATCTTCAGCCCCTAGATTTGTGTTGTCGAATTAGTCACAAACAGTTGTTTGTAGTTGCATACTTACTAGCGTGAATCAAAGTGGGTTTTTTTATCACATACTTAGAATCCTTAAGTATTATTACTAAGTAATATCACCTATTACATTTATGGGTAGAGAAAGCTGCGATGCCTAATGTGCAATGCGTACTGTTAGACAGAAATCAGCCAAAGCATAAGCCTCTTCAGGTGATTTCGCAACTCTTCCACTCTGGACTTGCTAAAATTTGTATTTCTGAGACTTGAATTACCAACAAAAGGAAAAAAAAAGGTGTAGAACTCCACATTTCCCTTCACACACACACACACACACACACACACACGAGTCTGTCTTTAAATGTGCCTTTGACAAGTGTGATTTGAAAGCAGGAGAGATGCCAGAGCTGGAATTCCATCTGTGCTTAGAGCTCCCAAGTTGGAACTCAGAGCTTGAGCCTGTTCCTTTGATGTGAGTCAGAGGCAGGACACTGCTCTGCCTTCAGGGCATCGGTATGTCCGTGCGATTCTGACCCAGATGCGGTGTGTGCATGTGTGTGCATGTAGACACCAAGCGTGTGTAAAACCCTCATCTTTATGCACTTTTTACTCAAGGAGAAAAGAAAGTATTTATTAAATACCAAACATTTTATAAATCTATGAGCATAAATTTAATGCTCAAAGTTAAATGGTAAGAAGGTCTATTTTTCAAACAAAGGAAATTGAATTTCTGTTAGGTTAAACCAAGCTGGGATTGGAACCCACATATATGTGGTCCCCCCTCAGAGCTGGAGAAAAACATTTGGTTTGAGCTTCTGGAAAGGGTGACAGAGATGGACTTCCCAGTCCCAGACTGAAGACCTGAAATCTTGGCCTTGTTTCTTTGATGAGATCGTGTGTGTAAGCTGCCCATTCAAAGCCTCTTTGAAAATGGGATTCTGACGCTCCAATTGGCTGGTGGGGATGGTGAAACCGAAGATGACTTATAAAATCTGACGGGCCTGTCTTGGGGACACACTTTGTGCTAGAGGTTACTCTAAGTGCTTGGTTTATATTGCTCCAGAGAAAGCTCTTAACATATGAACAGGCTCTAAGATGGCAGCAATTTGTCAAATGAACCTTTCAGAATGTCTTTCTGGAGAGAGCAATTTGCATGTGCAAAGGCCCAGGGGTATAAAACAGCCTGGGGCATTCAGACATTGGAACCGGTTTGATATGGCTGTCAGCAGGCTGAGGCAGAAGACGAGCAGTAGAGAAATGCTGTGGCTTGAGCCCATATGAGGCTTTGTACCTGGTTTAGAACTGGGCCTTGGCAGGCTCTCTTGGGAGCACTAGGGCAGGCACCTACAGAGAGGCATGTGGTGGCAAAGTAGGTCATCTTTCACTTCAGTTTAGTTCAATTCAGTAAATATGTATTTTGGACACTGGATTCTGAATTGTCACTTATGTTCTAAAAAGGTATTGTGCTGGGGTTGGACGTCTTGATTGCAAAGACAGGATCCTGCATTCTAATTAGGAGAAAGGCACAGGAAGAAAGAATTTAAGGAGAGGAGCCACCTCCCACAGTGAAGTTACTTCCAGGTGGCCGTGGGAGGCACCCTTAAATTCACCACAGTTTGGGAGTGCTCCCCCTGCACATCACGGCCAGTCTGGGCCATAAGGGCCAGTGAGCAGCTGTCAGATGGCCAGGAGGGGTTGGGGCGTCCTGAACAGAGGGCAGTGCATGGGCAGAACCCCAAGGCACGTGCTGGCACGGCACATGCAGGGAAATAAATACAGGGGATTCAGGACTGCAGGGCCAGCAAGGGGCAGCAGGGAGGATGGACAGGGGACGGGGGCCAAAAATCCCAGTGCCTTGAGTACCATAAATCCTTGAAGGATTTTAAGCAGTTCCAGAATGAGTTTTAAAATGACCCTAAAGCTCTCCCTTCGGGCTGTGGGGAACAGGCACTAGTACAGGGACAAGCTGCTTTTTGAGAAAATGACGACAGTTGCGTCAGCTGTGTGCAGAGTGCCATTTTACTCTCTTTAGGGAAAAAGTGTGTGTGTATTTTAAGCAGGCAAAACTGTAAAGATGCTATTTCTTAGAAAATGCCTGTTGCTTCCTGAGAGACCCACAACAACCAGCCCAGAGGGACGCTCAGGGTTAG